GCCCTTCTGCATGTTTTTTTTTGCAATAACGTTACTAAGTTGCGTTATTTCGCTTCCTTCACTCTTTCTAGACGTGGAGCGATTTCCACCAGAAGATCTGCACCCTTCTCTAGACGTAACTCGATATTTAGGAGTAACATCCCTTTTGGATTCACCCAACCGCGAATATTATCGGAATCAGACATTTTTACAACACCTTTTAGTATTTGTACAAACACTTTCACAGTCACCAACTCGCTTAATTCATTGCTGTCTACAGGGCCGTAGCGACGGACTCAGGGGCCCCGGTGCAAAACTTTAGGATAGGATAGGATATCGAAAATTACGATTTTTTAGTAAAACTTTTTAGTTTTGGGGGCCCCTTTGAGGTCGGGGGCCCTGGTGCACCGCACCGCCTGCACCAGCCTCGCTACGGCCCTGGCTGTCTACCTCCGATTCGAACTGAACTCGCACGCCCGAACACAAACTTCTAATTGTATCCAATTTTACTCAACTAAGGCTTTTTTACCTAAAATTTTATTCACTGTCTTTAATTTACACAATTTTAATATATTCATAAAATAAAAAAAAGGTTTTTATATCCCACTTCTGATTTGTTAGCAATAAAACAAAGTATATTGCACACGCCAATTACAAATAGTTTAATTCTACATGAATAGTTTCGACTGGTACAAATATTACCATAAGACTTGCTCGGCAGATAACCACCAGACCCCTAAGTCTAGTGCTTGCTTAAGTAAATAAACGTGTCGAATGTCTCATAAACAATAATAATAGTCAATAGATTTCACGGGCCACACATTAAGAGGGCATTCCTGTGAACTAATATTTTAATACTTATTACCAAGAACAATTATTTCTAACACAATCCATAATAATAATTATTTAATTTAACTATTAAGTAGTAGAATAACTATTTATTGAAAACGACTATTCGTTGTTTTCTTGTTGAGATAAAAATTTGTTTACGTTTATTTTTCTTATTTAACAATTAAGAAATTGCATTTATATTTGTTTTTACTGCTTTTACCATTATTTTTTTTATACTCGAGAAGGTCTCGCAGTTTGTTTATTTAAGGCAAAGATTAGAAAATGGTTTGATTACTTACATAAGATTTATGTGATTATTAAGTACTATAGTATACTTGTCACGTCATATACGGCGGGTTACTTTTAAGTCGTTAAGTGCATTCGGTATCTTTGGTCTATTTAATGTAATGGTTAACGGCCAAATGTTTTATTCTTTCTTGTTGATTTCACACCCATAGGCTCGGTGAATTCCTATTTACGCAAATAGCGAAGTGCAAATATTAAAAAACTTATCTGAATATGGCTCTTTGTCCCCTTGTAATTGATCTCTTCCAGGTTTATACCGCGATACCTGTTCAGGTGGGTGGTTCCGTGTCTCCGACAGTTAACTTCGCGCTTTTAAACTTTTAGATTAGGTTTTTAATGCACTAGACTATGACTATGCACTAGGGTGATTCATTTCCGCAAAATTTTTGTTTTTTTTCGGTGCTCAAACAAAATATTAATCTGCATATAGAAAAAAAATTCTCACCAAGTTTGAGCTCTTAATATCAATTTTAAGTACTTACTATTTAAATTTAAAGTTTTACCTTTTAAAATGCATGTAAAAAATATATTTTTTTTTTCAAGTTGCTCACCTACCTTTGACAATATTGCAAATCGGTTTGATACACCTTGTGGGGAATTTTCACGCTCTTCAAAATTTCTTTTGAGTTTTTTTTTCGCATCGGTTCATCAGTAGGAGTCGTCAAAGGACAGTTTTTGAAAAAAAACCGTTTTTTTTATTTTTTCGAGCAAATCGACAAAAGTAGGGAGAAAAAAGGGCTGACTCATAAAAAAAAGTTATCCAACCAATATTTAATGAATTTACAGCCATTTTTATAACTGAAAACGTAAGAAATTAATAAATACCAACCCATAATGTTGTTTAGATTGATTTTTTCCATTTATATCATTATATTTCCCTACACTAAGAACTTTTTAAAAATTATTATGATTTCTCACTCATACTGAATATGAAAACAACACATAAATTCATAAAAAACAACAAAACTTTAATCGGAAAATACAGAAGGTTATGTTATTATGTAACATATTCCAAATTTCGCTTCAAAAAATTAAATAATCTTCATTTATATTTTTTTGCTATATGACAGAAATGTTGAAAAATTGCAAAATTCACGTTACAATTTTATTCTTGTTGTTTTTTATGAATTTATCTGTTGTTTTCATATTCATTATGAGTGAGAAATCATAATAATTTAAAAAAAGTTCTTAGTGTAGGGAAATATAATGATAATAAATAGAAAAAATCAATCTAAATAACATTATGGGTTGTGGTATTTATTAATTTCTTACGTTTTCAGTTATAAAAATGGCTGTAAATTCATTAAATATTGGTTGGATAACTTTTTTTTATGAGTCAGCCCTTTTTTCTCCCTACTTTTGGCGGAATGTTCAGAAAAATTAAAAAAAAAAACCGATATTTTTCAAAACCTGTACTTTGACGACTCGTACGGATGAACCAATGTGAGTTACCTGTACTTTGACGACTCGTACGGATGAACCAATGTGAGTTACACAAAAAAACTTCAAAGCAATTTTGAAGAGCGTGAAATTCCCCACAAGGTCCATCAAACCGATTTGCAATATTCTAAAAGGTGGGTAAGCATTAGAAATTTGAAAAAAATATATATATTTTACATGCATTTTAAACGGTAAAACTTTAAATTTAAATAGTAATTACTTAAAATTCATATTAAGAGCTCAAACTTGGTAAGAATTTTTTTTTCTATATGCAGATTAATATTTTGCTTAAACACCATACTATGCACTGTATACTTGTTTCTAGTTCAGAGCGGAGAAACTATAACGTCTCCGTTGGCGATTAAGCGATGATTTGGTACTGTCTAGCTAGATTTTATTTTGGTATAATATTATTATTATAAATTTGACTGTTTCATATTTTACAGGAAAAATTAGACACCAATAAAATCGCAGGTGGTCGCTTCTGCATAGAGATAAGGTAACAAATCGTCATTCATAGTTTTGTCGATTGTCCATTGATTATGGTTTTCTTACTTTACTTTTATTATTAGATACTAAATTCTAGTACCTCCCTGTTTTGCGGTAGAATTACTACACCTTTTCCAATTGTATTTCAGAAAGACACAAATGTATTTCGGAATAATTTAATGTATTTTAGAATAGTCAAATGTATTTCAGAAAGCATCAAATGTATTTCAGAATGGTCAAACGTACACTCTCAGCCAAAATAATCGATCCACACAAATTTTCGATGAATTTAAATAGCAAATAACTGTCGGATTTAAACGAATATTAAAGAATATTGTAGATAAATTAATGGAGAATCGCTCACATTTTAAAAAATTACTAAAAAATAGATGTACGTTTATAATATACAGGTTTAAACAAAAAGAAGATTTTTACCATAAGTTTAAGACACTCTGTAGAGTGGCTTAATCGTATATTGTTCTAAATTAAGTTTTAATTATCAAGTCACATCTATTCTTAACAGTTTTGTTTTTGGTTCTCCTCGATATATTATTTTTGTGGAAAATATGGATTTTTTAAAAAACATTGCAATTTCCAATATTTTTTCTGTACAAAGAACCAAGGTTGCTATGGTCCATCCATAGTCTGAGGAGGATGACAGTGACAGTTTTGTTAAATCATCCCATACTTGGTCATGTCGTATACGGCTATCAAAAGCTTTCAAATTGTTTTTTGCAAATTAATGTTTAACTTTTAAGGTGTCTTCTTACTTTTAAAAATGGATATGCCTTCGACTGATGTTGCCAGAGCCATTGATTTAATTCAGGATGGATGGTCTCAGTATTACGTGGCAAGTATTTTACAAGAAGTAAAGTACAAAGGGCAACATCAGTCGACGACTGACAGTCGGAGACATATACATTTTTAAAAGTAAGAAGACACCTTAAAATTTACACATTAATTTACAAAAAACAATTTGATAGCTCTTGAAAGCCGTATATGACATGTCCAAGTATGGGATGATTCAACAAAACTGTCTATGTCATATTATAGCCTATGGATAGACCATAGCAACCTTAGTTCTTCGTACAGAAAAAATATTGGAAATTGCAATGTTTTTTTAAAAAATCCATATTTTCCAAAAAAAAGAAATATATCAAGGTGAACCAAAAACAAAACTGTTAAAAATAGATGTGACTTGATAATTAAAACAATATATGGTTTTGCCACTCTACAGAGTATCTTAAACTTATGGTAAAACATATTTTTGTTTAAACCTGTATATTATAAACGCACGTCTATTTTCAGAAAGCGCCAAATGTATTTCAGAAAGCGGCAAATGCATTTTAGAACGCGTTAAACGTATTTTAGAATAACAGAACGCATTTTCCAATTGTATTTGAAGGGGTAAGAAGCAAAAGGGTATAAGTGCAAAAAAAGAAGTGGTGTTATTAACTAAAGTTTTTGTTATATACAAAAATCTGGATACTTGTTTCCATGTTTGCATTAATGTTATGAGAAAATAAAAAAAAATTGACTAAACTACCCAATTCTGCACTTAATTTATTTTAATGCTAAAATGCCCTTCATTTTAGAAAGTTTTCAATTTTTTTCGTTTATTTCTAAAGAAAAAAAAAGTTATTTTGTGCCTGCTCAATTTTTCCGGAAATTTTAAATCCTACGTATGAGTGAAAAAAAAAGAGGTAGCGGTCCTCAAAGGATGATCAAAGACGTTAAGAAATGAATTGGGTGTTGAATAAAATATAAAACAGACATTTTTGTCAAGTTTTATCCATTTTGGTTTTAATTTAATACCTCGAAAAGTTTTTAATAATTTGATTTTGTCAATAAAGCACATAATTTAAATTAGACGTTTCATGATCCAAATATGCAAAAATTGAATTAGAGTGAAATATATACAAACCATATCTTGATATGTTTTGTTTATGTTTTAGGTGGATATGGGTACGGATCTTCATACTCATCATATGGCATGCCTTACAGAAGTTCGATGTACAACTCGGGTTACGGATCGTATGGTTCATACGGCGGAATGTACGGTGGTGGCATGTATGGCGGCGGAGGCGGCATGTACGGTGCAAATGGCGGTTACGGCGACAACGAAAGCCGGTTCATTCAATACGCAGAGGAGAGTTCGCGAAGCACGTTTGCTAGCGTCGAGAACATCGTGAGAGCGGTCAACAGCATCTCAATGATGCTGGACAACACGTTCTTCGCGATGACGAGCTCGTTCCGAGCAGTGCTCAGCGTGGCCGAGAACTTCGGCCGTCTGCGCTCGATGTTCGGTCACATCTGGTACACGGTAAACGTGTTTCGGTTCTTTGGCTGGGCCTATAAAAAAATGCGCGAAATTATGGGCCTTAAGGTGGCCAGAAGCGCGTCTTCAGCTGCTTGGAAAGAGGCAGCTTCTGAAGCTGTAGCCGGAGCGGCTGGCAGTTCGGGCGGCTCTAGTTGGTCCACGCTGGTTTTCCTGGGAATGCTTGTGTCTACTCCCTATATCATCAGCAGGTTCATCCCAAAATATGAAGGTAAGTTTTATTTTATATTTACGTATATCATAGGTTTACATTTGGTTTAGAAGACAACTGCAATTTTATTCATAATAATATGACATGATGTGAAATGGGAAATCGAATGAAACTGTTTAGCAAGAAACATGGAACACAACCTTTTTCGGCTTACTATCAAAGGGCTTTTTATCAACAGGCGTCTTCAATCGCTCTTATACCTAGACTTAATATTATTCGTATCCAGTCTAGTAATAAAAGCATATGCCAGGGGCGGTTTTAGATATCTACTAACATGGCGTTCTGTTAAACTATCTATTGCCAATTTTCCGATTATTTGTTCGATTTTTGCCTCACAGCATATATTTTTATGGGCACTTTTTTATTTTAAAATTTCAGCTTTTTTGGGCAGAATTTATTTGTTGGCTCAGTAGCATAACCTCTTATTGTTTCTCTTTTAAGCATTTCCAGACATACGTTTACATGAATTTCTTAAAATTTTACAAAGAATCCTAAACCTTTACATAAAAAAAAAACAAACCGAATTTAAATGGATTTGGCAAAGGCAATAGAATATACAGTAGAAGTCAAAAAAATATCTCCCACCGCTACAATTGCACCATCTGTTCAACACGCAATGCGAAATAGAAACAACATCCAAAACAAGACAAGAAATAAACAAACACTTACGCACTAACCTAGGAACGTCTAAGACGCAATAAACAAATTAAACAGTCTTACGAACACATAACTGACAAAACAGGACAAGTGTATGCGTACTTAAACGACCATGGCAAAAAGGGCTTTTGGGTAGGATTGGAAACAATACTAGCCACCTCAGACGTATTCAACGTCGCAACCGAAATACCACGAACAGGGCGGGAAAGACAAGATCTCCGCCAGACAGAACAATAGCAGTAGGCTTCATTAGGTACCCAAAACCACTACGACAGCATCTAAGCTATTGCAAAATCATCGACTGGCACCCAGGAACAGTCCTACCACGATCGAAACAAGGTAAACAATAGAGTAATTAGTAATGGAAAATACACTATAACGCAATTAACAAACAACGACAGGGCATATTAGAGGTAAACACGCAAATTGAGAAATACTTAATAGGCACACAAAATGTGGACGACAAGGAAGAAAAGTCCCTATAGCTGTATACACTATAACGCAATTAACAAACAACGACAGGGCATATTAGAGGTAAACACGCAAATCGAGAAATACTTAATAGGCACACAAAATGTGGACGACAAGGAAGAAAAGTCCCTATAGCTGTATACAGCTAACTAACAACTTCCCAACTTCAAACAGTTATCCCAATTGTTTGGAGTAATACTAATTTCCCGGTCTAGGGGGATTCCGTATCGTACGCAAATTTGAGTCGGCGTAATTGTCCCCTAAAAACCAAAATGTCTGTCCCCCCACTTCCACCTCCTTTTATTCCTATTGCCTATTTTCTTTAAGAATCTGGTATTGGAATTGTTTGCTGGTCCGAAAATATTAAAACGCATTTTTCTCGAAAACCTTGGATTTTATCGTCTTTAGGCAAGCGTATTTTTTTAAAACCGATCTTTTAATATCTGTTATTTTTTGGACACATTTTAATTTAAACAAAATTTATAATAAGAAATCAATTGGTAATTGTAAAATAAAAACTCGGTATTTATATTATTATTAATTATTATTATGTGATTATCAGAAGAAAGCAAACATTTTTGTGGACCCCCCTTCTCAAAATCCTGGATTTGCCACTGATCCTGACATATACATGGTTTCCTAAGTACACAATTCGTTGCGATATTTTAAGAAAATCAGTTCATTTAAACATAATATGTTTAAATGAACTGTTTTTCTTAAAATATCGCAACGAATTGTGTACTTAGGAAACCATGTATATTATGTACTAAATGCTTTCTTACTCGGATATTATTAATAATAATAATGCTTTATTGAACTAAAACCAAGTTCAAAGGCTATTGACCGTAGTCCTTCAGCCGATGAGTTTACAATAAATTTTGATATAAGTATAAATATAACATTTAACAGTGTAACATTTCGTGGGTTGAGTATTATATTGTTCTATAAATCCAAAATGAAATTGTTGGGGAATGGCGATTAAATATTCCAGGCTCATTCTAATACCGTTTGTAAAGATTTTTATAATTTTAAGTACTGGTTTTGGACTCATATCCTTAAGAATTAAAAAATGTATTGTCCCTATTTGAACTTATATCTTCTAATACTGGGTTTTACAAAATAAACAATTTTTGATAGAACATTTTTTTTTATTGAAAACGAAAATTTTACACAAAACATCAGATTTTGTTCTAACAGCATACAAAATTCTTTAAAACTAAAAGTTTTTAGTTCTAAAGAATTCCAAAACTTTAGGGTTCTAAGAAGTATCCCTTAAATAAGAACATACCTACGTATTCTTTTTTTTAAATTGCACCGCACAACCACGTGATTATTACTTGCATACAAAACTGAAACAGCAAAAATTATATTGTTCTAACAGATCAAAATTCTCTTCTCTCATTGGTTATATTGTTCTAACAGATCAAAATTCTCTTCTCTCATTGGTTGGTCTGTTAGGATATTATAATTTTAAACCGTTTTTAAATAAGTGCGATAGAACAATTTAATAATGCTTTTTTTTTAGTTTGTGTATTAAATTAAACAGGCATTTTTATATACATAGAACAGAAATTTTATGTACTATTTTTCTATCAAAAAAGCCGATTTCGCGCCAAAAGTGCTGTTAGAACATTATAATACTCAACCCACGATTTATAAAATCAAGGTACTTATTTAACAAAAAAAATGCACATCTAGTGTTATGGAGCATTATGGAATTTTATTAATTTCTCCATGGAGGTTTCTACTGGATGTTTGTGTGTAGATTCGCGATTTTCTCGTTCTATGCAGTAATTAAGTATTTCGAAATAAATGTCTTTTTTGCTGAACTTTTCTGCCAACATGTTAATGCTTTCTTCTATTGGTTGAATTTTTGTTGTTGTATAGAATAGGATATTTGAGGGGTTAAATAAAGGATTGTTAGGGTGGCGAATTTTTGTAATTGTTCGTAGGGAAGTTGTTTCTGATGTCTTTAGGTTCTGCATAGCTGGTCTTTTGCAATTTAGAAATAGGATAAATCCGTACTCAATGATGGGCCTGCAGATCATTTTATATATTTTTGTGCTTCTATCCATACTAATGCCTGAGTTTTTGTAGGTTAAACTTCTAAAATGTTTGGACCTTGTAATTATTTTCTTTTTTAAAAGTTTAGTATGGCTGTTAAAGTTTAATTTTGGATCAAGCGTTATTCCTAAATATTTAGCTGCTGGTGATGCTTGGAGTATATGATTATTTAATGAAATTGTTGGTGAGTTATGGGAAATGTTATGGTTGAAAATGATCATTTGCGTTTTATTTGCATTGATTTTAAGCCTCCATTTATTAAACCATTTCATAGTTATGTTTGTCAATTCTTGCAATTTTTGTATAACTATCTCCACGGTTTGGCCGTGTGTTATTAGAGCGGTGTAGTCGGCAAATTGCAGCATGTAGGACGTATGAGAGAAGTAATGTATGTCTTCAAATCTATGATGGTAGATGTCAGCGCAATAAACATTATATAAAAAAGGTGAAAGAGGAGATCCTTGGGGTAGCCCTTGTTAGGTAACAAATTAATTGGAGAAGTCATTGCCAATTTTAACCCTTAATTCTCGCTTTTCTAGAAGTAGGCGTACTATATTAATAAGGTGAATGGGGCAGTCCATTAGATGTAGTTTATACAACAATCCTTTAATCCATACAATATCAAAGGCCTTGCTTATATCCAAAAAAACAACGGCAGATTTAAATTTGTTTAATTTGGATGTTTCCACATTGTTTAGTAGAATTGTAAGCGGATGGATGGTTGACATATGAGGTTTAAATCCAAATTGATGTCCAGGAATAATTTCTAGCAGTTTATGCTCTAATAATTTTTTCATAACTTTCTCAAAGTTTTTTCCAATTACTGGAAGTAGCGTAATTGGCCTATAATTGGAGGTTAGGGTGTGATCGGTATTGGGTTTTGGAATGTAATTATGATACCTTTTTTCCATTCGTTAGGAATATGCTGATGTTTGATGCAATATTTGTAGATTTTTATTATATATTCGTGAATCCGGAAGTCTAGCTTTCTGAGTATATTTCTGGTAATATTATCATGTCCCGGTGCAGAATTTTTCCCCGATTCTAGAATTTCGTAGTAATTGTCCTCTATAAATGTATCCTCATCCGAAATCGGAATCATATCATTAAAAAACAGTCTGTACCAGTCATCTACAACCCTGTAATGATTACCATCAAACCTGAAATCGTTTCCTTGTAGACTCGTTCGAAATTTTTAGAGAAAATCTCGCACTTCTCTCGGTCAGTATTATAGGTTACCTTGCTCTATTATTTCGCTGTTCTTAAGTGCAGATCTTTTATATTTTGAAAGTTTCTTAATATGTTGCCAGTAAGATTTGCCTTTTTATAAATTTATTTCTCGACATACTTTTAAAAAACAATTACTTTTATATTCCCGAATCAGATTTTGAATGTTTTTATTAAAAGCGTTCATGCTAGTCTTTAAATTTGGGTCTCCTAGTTCTCTATATTCCCTATACATTTTGCGTTTTGTTTTAATAGGTTGTAATATAAACGGAGGTAATATGTGGTTGTAAAATCTTTGATTAATTTTGGGTGTATTTTGTAAAATAGAATTTGTTAGTTCAGTGTTAAATTTTGAAATTTCATTTGGGTCTAAATTTTGGGAATTATTGATATAACTTATTAGAGTCTCACTTACTTTTTTTATTTTTGTTTGGTTAAAATTATATTTTGTTATCGGGCTAGAGTTATAAGATTTTTCGGAGTCAATTTTAATTTGTAGACTTAGGTGATCCGAGCACAGATCCGGTGTGACTTATACACTAATAATATTACTGGAAATATTTGCTGTATACATTAACATA